GTAGGTGATCTCTGCTGTCAGGAGGGATTTCCCAATCTGGCAAGCAGCTGTCAGGATTGCCTCCACGGTGTCCAAGGATGTCTTGCAGAGGCAGGCGTCAAAGAACTTCCAGTAGTCGGCGGCTTGCAGGTAGACGATGTCGTGGAACTCCTGGAACCTGCAAGTGCCAGGCAGGTTTGTCACCAACCAACATTAGGGGGCAGTACAAGCCTTGCACCTTCGCATGGATGTGCGGGCTGCTGAGCATGACATCTGTTCTTAGAGCTTCAGTTGACATTGACCAACCTGAATATGCCACTGATGTCTTTCCAGCGCCCAGTGGGGTCGTAGCTCCGCAGCCCATCCTGGACCTCATACGAGAGCCCAAACCAGCCTGAGCCGACCATGATGGCTGGCATGCTCCACAACACGCCCTGTCCACTGAAGTCGTTGGCCATTGCCTCCAAGAACGGAAGCTGGTGAGCGTCGGGGCCCATAAGTGCTGAAGCTCTCTCCTCGACATACGGAAGGGGTAGGGACAGGAAGAAGCATTCCGGACCGTGTACACACTCCTCAGTGATTCTGTCCGACCAGCCATCACTCTTGAGCTGCTCGCCAAGCCAGTGGCACAGCTCAGCCTCGGAAGGCCTAAGGTCTCGGTCATGCTGGACGAAAGGCTTCCCACACCTGCACTTAAGCGCAAGGACAGCCACTTGGTTAGGCAATCCTTCCAGCCCCTGTCTTAGGCTTGCACTTCACAGCAAGAGCTCATGAAGGGTGTTTTATAATTAACATCAGTGAGGCTCATCTGCAGGCGCTAGTAGCGTTTCTGATGCTTACAAACCGTTATCGCAACCGTTACCATAACCGTTACCGTTGGCAAGTTAACCATTACCGGTCAGAATACGGTGCAGCGGATTTAAAATTGTTGCTTTCGTCAAAGTGATGCAAGCATTTGCATGCAGGTACGGGCCACGTGATTCCCTTACCTGACACTGGTCTGGTTCCTGATCAGCACAACTTCGCAATCAGGGGCAATGCCAATCTTCCAGTTCCTGTTGTCCCAGACAATCTCGTCCCACTCGTGCCCTCTGACTTGATGGAGCTTGAGCACCCAGCCATACTCCTTGTCTTCCTCGAGGTCACTCACATCCAGACTTCTCCGGAGGCTCTCATGTTGGCTCGCGTTCCCGCCAGCAAGGGTCTTTGCTACCGTGTCCACAATGTATCCGGCTTTCAGTTTCAGAAGGGCAAGGCGGAGTTCATGTGTAGGCACCTGAGCTCGAGAGCCGCTGCCAGAAGCCCCATCATCGACAACCAGCGACCCAAAGCTCCGAGAAGAAGCCATTTCTGATGATCCGCGGGCGTCTGCTGGAACGGTGAGCTCAACTGGGGCTACCTGGCATCCGTTGCATGGACGTGTGGGCCGTGTATCCATGGATAATGCCCCTGTGATGCAGGTTGCCCCCATTCTCGGCGGATCCGGGAGGATAAGCCCCCATCTGCCGTAGATGTGTCCTGCTTTTCTGGATTTTTGTGGCTAGAGATCTGCGTCACCAAGTACCTACAATGCGGAAGGGGAAAGAAGCTCGCCAAGTCGCGAGCAGATAAAGACATGGGGCAGGCCGCGTCCCTTGAGGCAGCGGTCACTCATGCTGAAACCGTCCTTGCTCAGGTCCAACAATTGAAAAAGGATAGAGATGCTGCGCAAGCGCGGTGCCAAGGGGCTGAGGACGAACTCGCTGCTGAGCGACAAAAGTTGGTGGTTCTGAACAGCATCAGCGTTGCTCGAAAGAGGAAAGCCCGCGAGGAGAAGAGTGACTTTGAGGCAAAGATTGCTCGGCTACAGGAGGAACTACATGCTAAAAACATCAGGATACAGGAGTTGGCCAAGACAGCAAGCCCCAACGTGGATGGGCCACGTGTTGACAAACATGTGACATTTCAGGTGGAGTCGGGACCTGAGGACTCTGATGATGACAGCCCCTTGTGCATCCGACGGGCTCGTCAGGTAAGAGAACATGATGAGCTTCCTTGATCTTTCCTTGAGTGCTAAGCTTTCGTGGGAAAGCCAGCAACCTTTAACATTGGTTTTTGTCTCACCTGTTACTGTGGTTGCATGTTGCAGGAGAGGGAGCGTGCCAAGGAGATAACCTGGATTCCGGACTGTGACAAAACAGGGGATTTTGAAGTGAAGGGGCTGGAGGCCGGTGCTACAACATTTGTCACCCCCCTGATGAATCATGTGAAGGTGCAGTCACATCTCCATGACAATCCCTTCTTGCATGCTGGAGAACTGGGTTGCATGGTCAACAAGTCAGTTTCCCGGTGGACACTCTCAAATTCTGACGTATGTGTGTACAGGAGGCTGAGGCGCTCTTGCCCCTTGAAAGATTGGTGGCTGCAAAGTGCTACCTGATGAAGGTCCTGCGGCTGAGGTGTACAAGCTGTGAAGAGCAGATTGAATTTGCCATGGAAGGGTCCAACGTAGAGCTCCCGTGCATATGCCGTTCCACCAAGGCTCAACCAGTCTACCTTGGCGTTTTCTTCAGGGGGGATAGGTACAGGCTTGTTCTTACCAGCGTAGCAAAGCAGCGGAGTATCTCTGACTTTGTAAGCAAGGCCCTTGCCAAGATTGTTCAGAATCACTCAGCAGAGCTCTGACGTGTGTACACCAGGTACGCACGTGTAAGATGGGAGGGCCAGTCCAGAGAGGCTGGAGAGGAGGGAGGTGTGGTAGACGTGTCAAATGGAGCAGACGGGGTGTACCTTACTTCTACGAAGAATAATAAATTCTATGCAGATGCTATCCAAGAATGCCAAATCTTCCTGCTCCAATACGTGTGTGGCCAAACAGGAATGATCCCCATTGGTTGCCGTGGACACCAGCGACTTATGATCGTTACTTGACCCAAAGCTGATACACATCACACAACCTCTCGAAGTTGATGTCATGCGTGGCTGCTCAAGACATCCAAAGTACTGGGAGTCGCATTCAAGATTGGACCATGTGGGACCCAGCCGCTGGCAGCGGACGCTTGTATGCCCAATTCCCAACCAATAACCGCTATGCCTCTGATTTGAGAGGAACAAACTTTGAATTTATGCCAGACTCACACTTTTATCCAGGCGTGGACTTCCTTGAACATGTCATTCCAACTCTGACCAAACGAAAGCAGATCTACATGATTGCAAATCCCCCGTATGGAGACCTGACGCATCAGTTTATAAACAGGGCATTCGATGGTACATATCCAATTAAACGTGCATTGTTTCTGGTAAGTGCTCAATCAAAACTTCCCCGTTATTTAAGCATGATTGACTACTCCCAGTGTGTGCTTGTTCAGCGGAGCAAGACATTCAAGGCAGACTTTGAAATCATGCTTGAGCCTCGTCAAGGAGGGCCACCGATATACCGTAAACAAAAGTACCCAGTGCAATTGCTGCTGTTCTACTCCATTGAAGAGTTTGCAAACGTGCTGAACACGGCTGCCAAAGGGCAGCTATGCACGCCTATCATACAAAAGGGCCCATGTCACGGTGAAGCTTCGTTCACGGATGCTGTTCGACTCGATCCAGCGACACCACTGTGTAAAGGGCGAGCAAGGAAGTCCTCAGCTAACCAGAGCAACTCCGCTTCCCCCCGATATAGCACTCGCTCCCGGAAGCGTTTACGGGCAGGTTAGCCTGGCGGTTGGACCTGCTCAGCATCATCTAAAAGCTGCCACGCATGCTTTGCGTACACTGAGCCATCTTTTTGACGTCAACAAGTAAGATGCAATCCGCGAGCACTTCCTGCTTTTATCTGTTTCTTCTCTTGTTCGCCCCCACCCTTGCAAGGTGTGATGTCTATTCTGATTCTCTCCACAAAGGCCTCCTCTTCTTTGAGGCTCAACGGAGTGGTAAGCTACCTGCTGATAACAGGATCCCCTGGCGTGGTGACTCCTGCCTGTCTGATGGCTCTGATGTGGGCCTTGATCTGTCAAGAGCCTACTTTGATTCGGGCGACCACGTGGTCTTTGGCCTACCGCTGTCTTTCACGTTAAGCATGATGGCCTTTGGCTTGGTCGAATACGGGGAGCTTTATGGGACCGAGCAAGATCGCGCAATCGCCGCCCTCAAGTGGGGCACTGATTGGCTCCTGAGAGCACACCCCTCCGAGAACGAGCTCTACGTTCAGGTTGGTGATGGGGAAAAAGATCATGCTTGCTGGATGAGACCTGAGGACCTCGACATGCAGAGGCCGAGCTTCAAGGTAGACTCAAGCAAGCCAGGCTCCGAAGTGGCTGCGGAGGCAGCAGCTGCACTCGCTGCAGCATCGATCGTCTTCAGGGAGCGGGATAATGCTTACCACGATGTCCTGATCTTTCATGCGACCCAGCTCTTCCATTTCGCGGATAAATACCGGGGGAGTTATAGCGACTCTGTCCCGGCTGCAGCAGCATTTTACAAATCGTACTCTGGGTATGGTGATGAGCTGCTGTGGGCTGCTGCGTGGCTTCACAGGGCCACGTCGGACCCAACCTACATTGCTTATATGACTGGGCCCAATTCGAACGACGGCCCATTGAATTGGAAGGGAACGGCGACAGAAATATCATGGGACGACAAGAGGGCAGCCGCGCAGCTCTTAGCAGCTCGGCTCGTCCTCCTCGGTCAGCAGCCTTCAGGGACGGCTCTAGATCATTACAAGAAGGCCCTCGACGGCTTTGTGTGCTCGTACGTGACAGGGAATACGCCAAAGACTGCTGCGGGGCTGCCATGGATCCGGGAATGGTCACCTTTGCAATATGTGACCACGAGCGCATTTGTGATAGCGGCTTACAACGACATTTTGCAGCAAGCAAATGCGTCACTGACATGCTCGGGCAGCACGTACACGAGCGACACGCTGTTGGCGTACAGCAAGAAGCAGGCGGACTACATCCTCGGCGCGAACCCGCGGCGCATGTCGTATATGGTCGGCCTGGGAGAGTCGTTCCCACAAAGGGTGCACCATAGGGCAGCATCAATCCCGAGAGACGGAATTCATTACAAATGTGGCGAAGGCTTCAAGTTCTTTCAGACGTCGGACCCCAACCCAAACGTGCTGGAGGGCGCGATCGTGGGCGGCCCCGACCAGGCAGACAACTTTCAAGATGCGAGAACAAACTTCAAGCAGTTAGAAGCTAGTGTGTACGTTGTTGGGCCATTCTTAGGACTTGCAGCGCGTCTGAGCGGCTCAAGCCCCCCACCTACAGCATCACCTTCAGCTACTGAACCAGATGTCAACATTGGGGAGCCACCAGGACCCATTTTGTGCGAATGTGATTGTGAGGGTTTTTGATTTGGCTGTGACAGCATGAGCGTAACAAGACATTGTTCTTCCGAGTCCACAGAAAGCCGGTCTTCTTTCCACCTGTCCTTGTAGCATATGTTAAGCGACCAAGCGTCAAACCACTATCCTGTACAGCTTGTGCAATGGTCTCATATATTTGAAGGACGTTTCCTTCAAGGTCATACTTGACAACAGCCGTATTCCTCTTTTGATTCCGTGCTTGCTCCACCTTTGTTGCCCAGCGTAGGTTCTCGAGAACGTCATTGAGAGAGTTGCCATCAATGTGGTCGACCGTGTGCTCAGGACTTGGTCGATCGCCCAGGAATGTGTTGGCCACAAGCACGTAAGCAAACGAGATCTTCTGCCCTTGAACATGTAGATTGATCCTATGTCGACCGTTCCGTATCTGCCCCTTCGTCCGCCTTCCATCGCGCATTTGTACCCGTCCCATATTGCTCACCCTGACGTCCTTGATTAGCTGCCCCGCAAAAATGGCATCTTTCCATACTTCGCCTGGTTGGTCCGACTGCTCGGCGAGGTGCTCAGGGCACCAGCGAAATATGTAGCCCCTCGGCCCCTTGGTGGACCCCCGGAGAATCCGCCTGCCAATGGAGTTGTGGTGAAGCCCCAACGTCCTTGCAGCTTCGCCGATGGAATTGAATCGAGTCTCCTTACCAGTGCTGACTTGAAGGGCAATCAATGGGAAGCCTTGTGCAACACTGACCTTCTTATGTATTCCAGGATTATCCACTAAAGTCTTCCGTCTGTGTTCTGCCCTGGTCAGCTCTTGCAGATTCGTCCATTTGTCGTCTTGAGGAGGTGGATCGGACCCATCCGTAGGTCTGGGTGAAGCCACGATGTGATCTATCTCCATACCGGGCTTGATCGCTCTTCCGGTGGCAATCTCGAAGTTGAGGCGGTGTCTCTTGACCACTTTCCCCTCAATACGTAGTGCCGTGTACCCGTCTGACCTGGTCCCCTTCTGGAAGCTCCCGAGTTGGGTGTTCCATACTCGGCCGTCAGGGATACGAAAGATGTGCTTGTACTTGAAGTGCTGCTTCCATCCCTCAAGACTTGCAAGAGGAGCATTCGTCTTCGAGTGCGAGCGCTGGTGGATACTCAAGTAACGCTTGGCTGTAAAGGATCGTGAGCAACCTGGGGAATCACAGACAAACTCCTCCTGACTGTCGACCAGGCTGTGCTTGCGCTTGTCGCCAACCGTACTGGTCACGGCAGCCATCTCAAAAAGCTATGCTTTCTTGACAATCTCGTTAGCCCTAAGTACACGTACTTTGAAGGTGTGGCTAAATTTAAGTGCACGCTCCCGGTCAGCTTTGGGGCAAACATTTCCTGCCCTAAGTGGTAGAGATGCATGGAATCGCTGCCCACAATCTGTGGCCTGCTTATAGTGTTGGCTCTGCTGTACATCCTGACTGCAGACAGAGCTCGTGCAGAACACTTTGCGAGTAGACCGCCTGCGCGTGCACCTCCGACGCCGCCTGCACGGCCACCTCCTGCACAGCCTGTACTGCCCGTACGCGCCCCTCCACCTTCGCGCGCCCCTCCTGTGCCTGCTGTACGGCCACCTCCTGTACCACCCATACGCGCCCCTCCACCACAACCTTTGCGCGCACCTCCTGTGCCTGTTGTACGCCCCCCTCCTCCTGCGCCCACTCTGCGCCCCCCTCCTGCACCTGCTGCGAAGCTTCCTCCTCCTCCTACTTCGAGGCCACCTACAGCTTCTTCAAAGCCTGCTGTGAAGGTCCCCTCCCCTTCGAGGCCGCCTCCAGCTCCTCCAAAGCCTGTTGCGAAG